CTTGTGCCAAAAAAAACATATTTTTGAAATTGTGACATTTTGGTATATTTGGTGAAAAACATGGTATTCTGGAAATAAACTCCTAAAAATATGGCAGGGTGGAAAAAATTCGCAACAGATTTCAAACCATGATAATTTTCCAGCACGACAAAGTTAGCATATGGAGTAAATCTCTTCATTGTAATAGAAATTTTGAAATCTGAATAAAACACTAACAGCAACAACAAAATACAATGAAAGTTCAAACCAAAACACTAACAGTAACAACAAAATACAATTAAAGTTCAAACCAAAACAGGAAGAAATCATAACTTGCTAATGAAACATGATTTAATAAGAATCACCGACAACTTATAAACTATTAACAAAACCCATATTGGCTAAAAATAATTGGAGTTAAAAAAAATACAGAACCACCATTGTTTAACAATTTAGACATGAAGAAGTTGTGAGTTTAACACAATATGAGTTCAACACCAACATCCTAGTTCCCTATCACTTTGATTCAACATGGCAACAAGTGACACAAGTGAATCGCAAATAACACTATGTGAAAATCGAATGTCGAAAGCTTTAATACAAGCAACAATTCACATATGTAATGCTCACATACTATCATAACGTAAGCAATGAGAAGTAATTAACATCCTAAAACCATTGGATCGAGATTTAATTCCCATAACAGCATAGCAAAACTTGATTCGAAAACTTTACCTCCGTGCCGATTCGTCGATGGAATTCAGGAACGACTGCTGGTAGGAACGTTATCGCTGCTTCTGCAGATGAAACGCAAGTGGTTATTTGGCGCTGAAGCTTGTTGCGACCTGCGACTTGGTATATGTTTCGAGTTGAACCGCCGCGACCGAGATGCTGTTGTGAAGAAGAGAAGCTGAGTTGTTGCTGCCAAAGTTGTTTCCCACGGATCTACAACTCGTCGCTTTTCATCATCAACACTTTGAGACGCGAACCGAATGCAAGTCTGAGCCTAATCGTCAAGAAAATTCGAGCTTGTGTATCACTTGGACCATCGAGAGTTATTGTGATTCGAATTTTAGGAGTTTGCTGCGGTAAACCCCACGTAGCAGTTGCAGAGAGTTGCTTGGAGTTATTAGTGGTGGCTGAGGTGAACACGAAAAGGGTTGACGAGATGGTCGGCGTATGGAGGAGTTAGGAAGGAGAGGAACAACGATGGAAAATGAGGGTGATGGCGTGAGGAGAAAGATGAAGGGTTATGGTTGAGGTTTTGAAGAAACAGTAGGTGGCGGCGATTCTCTTGGGGAAGAAGAAGAAGGGTTCATCGATGATGGAAATGGATTTGTTCGTTAGACAAGAAGAGTTTTGTTTGGAGGTGATGAAGGGTTTACGGTGGAGGTTATGGAGGAGAGAAATGAGGGCGGAAATGGAAAGGGACCAGCGAAGGGTTTTGAAGGAGATCATAAGGTTTTTTTTTTTTGCGAAGTTGATTTACAGTGAGGGAGAGAGTGGAAGGAGGTGATGATGGCGTGAGGAGAGAGATGAAGGGTTGGGTTGGCGTCTAGGATTCCTTTGTCTTCTAAAAGGGTTGACAGTGTAAGGGTGATGATTCCAGGTTTGCTTGAACTGGCAGTCACCTTATTTTATTTTTGTCATGATGTCAGCGACCCTTTTGATTCTTGATATGGTGGTCACTGAATCTTATTATGTTTTTATTGAGGATTTAAAGACCTCTTTTGATTTTCCTTTTGATCCCTAATTTTTGTCTGGACCGCTCTTTTGGAGCTTTTGGGCCACTGGGATTACCTTGATTTTTGCCTAAGTATCCTTTTGAGGTGTTCGACTTAGCAGACTTTTTTCTTTTTGGAATTTTGTTGGAGAGTTGTGACTATCAAGTCATTGGTCATTGAAGAACAACCGTCATATCTTTTGGATGTTTATCTTGTGATTCGAGTGCGTACTCAAGTTAACTGAACACTACCCATGCCCCAGGTTAAATGTAAGGATTTGTAGATCTGAAGGAAACTCCTACTTCCAGGCTCGAAGTGGTTGACTAGGGACTAACTTCTTATCTCTTCAGTGTTTGGGGATTTGAAACAATTCATGTACATCATTAGAAAGGTTTTATCCGCAAGCATACTATCAACAATTATGGGTATTTAGTTTTTTTCATCCTCCCTCAAATCTTTGCTAAACAACAGCGCGATAAAGGAAGTGAAGTGAAACTTTTTTGTGATTTTTGCGATAAATGAGAAAATGTGAGTGAATACCAATGAATAACAACGTCTAAAAGCAAATAACACTTAACATAAAAGAAACTACATATGCGTAAAAATGACATGAAAACTGCCAGCATTGAGGAACTAGGTTTTTCTCTCTGGCTCCATTGTTGGGCTACCCTTCTTGCTCATCGAGACCAGTATGATAACCTTCTTCATATCCACTCTCTGCAGTTCTTCCATGTCATAAACTGATGGGCCCTCTTGATCATATGAAGGATTGATATGGATATGAAGACCTTGAGGCGTAAATGAGATTAGCTTTGAACCAATCAGATCCTGAGCCTTGTTCTTGAACTATTTGTAATCTTCGATGGAATTCCCCATGGCACCACATGGTAGCCGCATCGTGCATTGGTGTCAAAGCCTGGTGGGTATGGAGGAACCATAGGATCCAAGCCCTTTGGCACTATCAGTCCACTATTGGTCAAACGTGGTAGCACGTGATTGTATGGCATTGATAATGGATCAATGTGCCTTTTTGGTCTTTGGTTATAGTAACGTTGCCGTTGCGGAGCATGCTACTGTGTAATCCGTTGTTGGTAAAGGGGACCTCTATTGGCAGGAGGATATCGACCATGTGGAGAGACCGAAATCTCACAGGTAGACCCATAGAATTGCTGACTTTGAACAATTGAGATGCTTGGATACGAAGGATAAGGTACCTAGGATGAAGCTTGTGGCATGTCCCAGATTGTGTTGATTTCATCCTCTTCTTCCCCTTAGGACTAATAACTGATTCACTTTCACTAGCTGGGATGTTCGAGGCATCGTGAAGCTTTCCCTTTTTGAGATGACTCTCAATGCGTTCTCCTACTGAAACCAAGTCAGAGAAGTTTGACGTCCCATTGGTTGTCATCTTTTCCAAGTATGGTTCTTGGAAAGACTTTATGAACATGTCAACCAATTCTCTGTCTAAGAGCAGCGGTTGAACGCGAGAAGATACCTCTCTCCACCTCTGAGCATACCCTCTAAAAGACTCGTTTTCCTCTTGAGATAAGTCTTGCAATTGTATGCGGTTGGGAGCCACATCAAGATTATACTGGTATTGCTTCACAAAGGTGTTGGCTAAGTCCGACCACGACTGAATATAGCTACTCTCTAGCTGCATGTACCAACACAACGATGCCCCACTTAGACTGTCTTGGAAACAATGAATCATGAATTTGTCATTGTGAGCATACAAGATCATCTTTCTGCAAAACATCACCAAATGTTTCTTTGGACAACTATCTCCTTTGTATTTCTCAAAATTTGGCACCTTGAACTTTGGAGGTATTACAAGTCCGGGTACCAAACACATATTCAAAGCATTCAGATCAGAAACATCACGCCCCATCATGGCTTTAATTTTCTCTTCTAACACACGACATCTTTCAGTAAACTCAACATCCTGAGGTCGTTCATTATTCCCCACCAGGCTTGCCCCTTGGGAATTAGGCGTAGTGAATGCAAAGTTATGGTACTTAACAATATCATGAGACGAGGCATGTTCATCTCGAATAGTGTGACGTTCTTGTATAAGCTGGTCATTGACAAGGATTTGAACAGGACGAGATCGAGCAAGATTGTTCACTTGAGATGGAATGACGTTCTCAGTGGCTATAAGCCGTTGAAGGTTGTTCTCTCTCCTTGTCAGGGCTAACATAACTTCCACAAGTTGGTCCAACTGGTTCTTCATCAAGTCAACATCTGCTCTGGATGCGAACTGGTTCTGCTCTTTCGAGCTCATGATTCTTCCAAAAGCTGCTTCAAGTCTGATACGTGTGTCGGAAAATCAACTGTAGATTATGGACAAAGGAGGGATGAGCTTTCCGGCTTTAGAAAGATATGCAATGCAGACACAAACAGGATCCAAGATAACATAAGCGACTCAAAGCACCCTAACAGGTAGACTTTATAAAGAAAGTTCTAGATTCTTTACCCACAGACCCACTCACGGGATAACCTCTATGTGGACGGATAAGGTTCCCAGGATCACAGACACTAATCGCATCAACATCACGCAATAGGCTAGCTGCCTTACAACGAGAGTACGAGAAAGTCTCTCCTGAGCAGAGTCCTCATGCTAGACACACGGGTAGCGAGTCCTCGGAGACTAACACTACACGACTATCAATATAGAAACTGGTTCTAAGAGTGATTTCCAGAGTCATGGACCCTTCATGAATCAAGTCGTGTAACAGGCTAGCTGTGTAACAACAAGATTTATAAAAAAGTCTACTCTTAGAAACCATTGATTTTAGTAATTCCTTGATCTTTCCTAGACATATATACATAAGCATTGCTATTTCATGTTGTGTTTTTGTATGAAAAGTATTCCATTGATATGTTTGGTTATTTTATGAATTTAACGAGTAACTATCTATTTTTTGTTAAATAATGTTGGAATGAATGATGCATTAAAGTGGTTTTATGAAGTTTCTGAAATATAGTTAGTAGACATAAGTGTAAATTGAGTAGGAGGCTCAAGTTCAAAAACCAAGGTTCTTTAAATGAAGCAATGCATGTTCCCTCTAATTATTCATCGCTTAGCTTTCATAAAAAAAAAAATACCTTTATACCTTATTTGGTCTGCTCTTTTCAAAAAATCAAGCTCACAAAATCGATTAATTACCTACCGTTCTCGTTTTCGGGTTTTCGGGTCTAAAAAGTATTTAGAAACCAATTAATTACTTACCGCTTTTGACTTATTTAAAAAGCGATTAATTACCCAACGCAGCTACCACAACTCATCGACGCGAAAAAATGGCAGTGACACCCAAAATCGCTCCTTCAATGCTCTCATCGGACTTCGCTAATTTGGCTTCCGAAGCTCATCGTATGATCAATTACGGCGCTGATTGGCTTCATATGGACATCATGGTACCACTCACTTTCAATTTATTCTCGTTCTCTAAATTTTTTTTAATCAAGTTTCAATTTTTGAATTTTAGGAAGGATCTTAATGGTTACTGACATGTCTCAGTTTTTGTTCATTTTCAGGATGGGTAAGGACTTATTCACTATCTTGGTTTTGAACATGTTTCTTTTCCTTCGGATTTTTTCATCTATTTTTGTGCAGGCACTTTGTCCCCAATTTAACCATGGGTGCTCCAATTATTGAAAGTTTGAGAAAGCACACAAAGTAACAATTTTTCCTCTATGCTGATTTAAATTTCTCTTTTTTGCTATTGTCAATGGTGAATTTGAGTTAATAGTGATTAACCCTTGTAGGGCATATTTGGATTGTCATCTGATGGTTACAAATCCTATTGATTATGTTGAACCTTTGGGAAAAGCTGGTGCTTCTGGGTTTACATTTCATGTAGAGACATCAAAAGGTGGGTCTTGATAGTTCATTTTCCTTTGTGTTGTTCATTTTCTCTTGTATGATGTTTTCTTCTTCCTACTTTTTTGTATATGATTTCTTTTTCTGCTTTCTTAAAAGTGGTTTCTGGTTGGCAGACAACTGGAAAGAACTTATCCAAAGTATTAAGTCCCAGGGCATGAAGCCTGGTGTAGCGATAAAGCCTGGGACGTCGGTTGAAGAGGTTTATCCTCTGGTATGTGTTTCTACCCACCCGCACTTGTTCCGGTGTGGTCATATCTGCATAGCTACATTTTGTTATTATTAATCTTATGTGACCGAGTATATTTCGATTTGGATAAAAGCATGGTTATGGATAGAACATAGTGGCGAAAGTTGATCCATGTAGCCTACCCCACTTAGTGGGATAAGGCTTGGTTGTTGTTGTTGTTGTGACTGAGTATATTTGTGCATAAACTTGAGGACAGATACATCTTTGATTCTGAGATTTTAGCCTTAGAAGATCTCTCTTTCCCTCTCCCTCTGTGTGTGGTTGTAATCTTAGTCTTTTCACAGGTTGAATCTGAAAATCCTGTGGAAATGGTTCTTGTCATGACTGTAGAACCTGGATTTGGAGGACAAAAATTCATGCCAGAGATGATGGAAAAGGTATTATATTACATTCTTAAATTTTGTCTTTTGGCTAATGAAATGTTATCTGATCTGACCTGATCAGGAGGGATCACGGACTGGCCACGCTTCGCCGGACGGTTATCTGTTTGCCGAGGTGAGAACGAGGAGGGGGTGTACCTGCAAAGCACTCCGACGCCCAAGTAAGAAGTTGGACAGAGAGGAAGCAATAGTACAGAAAAGGGGGCAAGAAGAGTTGAATTACCTGGCCCTCTTGGGGAAGAGGGTATTTATAGAGAGACCCCAGCGCTGGGCCAACGGTCATTCGAGGTGGGCTGGATGACCAGGCCCAACCCTAATGACTGCTAGGGCTTACGTGGCGTAGTGAAGACCAGGACGTGGTCTTCGCCCTAGTTCAACCGCTCCTAGATCTCCGGAGAGTGGGTTTGACCTGCTCTTTCGGAGGTGGGCAGTTGGCCGGTGACGTGTCCCCGCGGAGGGGAGCACGTGGAGAACGTGCGCCGAGCACGTTATTCTCCCCGCGGAGGGGAGGTTCTGCCCTGACGGGATGGGCACAGGTTCTGCCCGACAGGATGGGCACAGGTTCTGCCCGTCAGGATGGGCACCTGCCTGACGGGAGGAGGTTCTGCCCTGACGGGATGGGCACAGGTTCTGCCTGACAGGATGGGCACAGGTTCTGCTCGTCAGGATGGGCACCTGCCTGACGGGAGGAGGTTCTGCCCTGACGGGCTGGGCACAGGTTCTGCTCGTCAGGATGGGCACAGGTTCTGCTCGTCAGGATGGGCACCTGCCTGACGGGAGGAGGTTCTGCCCTGACGGGCTGGGCACAGGTTCTGCTCGTCAGGATGGGCACAGGTTCTGCTCGTCAGGATGGGCACCTGCCTGACGGGAGGAGGTTCTGCCCTGACGGGATGGGCACAGGTTCTGCCTGACAGGATGGGCACAGGTTCTGCTCGTCAGGATGGGCACCTGCCTGACGGGAGGAGGTTCTGCCCTGACGGGCTGGGCACAGGTTCTGCTCGTCAGGATGGGCACAGGTTCTGCTCGTCAGGATGGGCACCTGCCTGACGGGAGGAGGTTCTGCCCTGACGGGATGGGCACAGGTTCTGCCCGACAGGATGGGCACAGGTTCTGCTCGTCAGGATGGGCACAGGTTCTGCTCGTCAGGATGGGCACCTGCCTGACGGGAGGAGGTTCTGCCCTGACGGGATGGGCACATGTTCTGCTCGTCAGGATGGGCACAGGTTCTGCTCGTCAGGATGGGCACCTGCCTGACGGGAGGAGGTTCTGCCCTGACGGGATGGGCACAGGTTCTGCCCGTCAGGATGGGCACAGGTTCTGCCCACGGGATGGGCACCTGCCCATGGGTCCCTGCTCATCAGTGTGGTCCAATTGGGCCCAACCTTAGTGGGATTTTGGGCCTTCTCGATTGTGGGCTAAGCCTCGGCCCAGTCCAGAACAGGAGCCCCCCAAGTCGTAGTTCGCTGTCAGGAGAGCTATGACTTAAGTAGAGAATAGCGTTGCGCGCGCTGATATGTCAGGCAGGATGCGAGAATGTCGTCGATCGTATCGATCATCTGGGAAGGGCGAAATTGCAGTCGCTCGACATCCAAAAAATTATGCTCGACACCTTCGATCGTTTCTGCTCGACACCCGGGGTCGTGCCCGTTTATTATAACGTTTTGACTTCTGGGCTTGTGCCTCTTTTATGGAATTCTTGTTTTCCTTTCTAAGTTTTGTGTGCGTGCATGATTGTTATGCTTTTTCGCTAAGTGTTGGCTCGTTTTGCCGAGCTCCATTATGATGTGAATGTTTATTGTTTTGTGGGGGACATTTGCTCGGTGCGTGTTGCCCGGTAGTGTGGGGAACTATCCGGATGCCCGGGGTAGCTTCCTGGGCGGACAAGAGTTAGGTCACGGTTGTGATCTATCCTGTAGGCTTGAACATCCCATCGCGAGCTGGGCGTTCGGCCGATTATGATACTGCGGCGGCGACTCTCGATCGAGGGGGTGCCGTCGAGCGGGCTATTCTCTTTTTTGTCGGGGAGGTATAGTGCCCGCTAGGGTATGGTCGGTAAGGTGTGGCCGTATCAGTCCACCCTCTTGTTCGCGCGGGTTGTCCCTCGCGGGCAGTGTTGTTTAACTGTAGTATTTTGTTTTAGCTTTTCAGCGTTCCATGGTCGAGCTATATGGTCCCGTGTAAGTTTTCGAGGTAGTAGGTTTTCGAAGGGAGGACAAGGCTGGATGGAAGCCAGGGTCCTGCCCGGCAGAGTCTTCTGCCCGACGAAAGAGAGGACAAAGACTGGCTGGTGGGCAGCCAGGGTCCTGCCCATCGGAGTCTTCTGCTCTGCGAAAGGAGGAAAAAGACTGGCTGGTGGGCAGTCAGGGTCCTGCCCATCGGAGTCTTCTGCTCGACGAAGGGAGGACAAAGACTGGCTGGTGGGCAGCCAGGGTCCTGCCCATCGGAGTCTTCTGCTCGGCGAAAGGAGGACAAAGATTGGCTGGTGGGCAGCCAGGGTCCTGCCCATCGGAGTCTTCTGCTCGGCGAAAGGAGGACAAAGACTGGCTGGTGGGCAGCCAGGTCCTGCCCATCGGAGTCTTCTGCTCGACGAAGGGAGGACAAAGACTGGCTGGTGGGCAGCCAGGTCCTGCCCATCGGAGTCTTCTGCTCGGCGAAAGGAGGACAAAGACTGGCTGGTGGGCAGCCAGGTCCTGCCCATCGGAGTCTTCTGCTCGACGAAGGGAGGACAAAGACTGGCTGGTGGGCAGCCAGGTCCTGCCCATCGGAGTCTTCTGCTCGACGAAGGGAGGACAATTGTGAACAGCGTCGCCATGGCGGAGGGCACTCGTGATCTTGAAGTTTTGAGAGATGAAGCTTTGGTTCTCTGCTCGGAGGAACGGGGGAGCTTAGCTTCCCACAGACGGCGCCACTGATCTGACCTGATCAGGAGGGGATCACTGGATGGCCACGCTCCGTTAGGCTGCTTCCTGTTCACCGGTGGGGAGGATGAGGAGGGGGTGTACCTGCAAGGCACTCCGATGCCAAAGTCAGAATTTGGGCAGAGTGAGAGCAAGAACAGAAAGTTAGAAGAGGTGAATTACCTGGCCCTCTTGGGGAAGAGGGTATTTATAGAGAGACCCCAGCGCTGGGCCAACGGTCATTCGAGGTGGGCTGGATGACCAGGCCCAACCCTAATGACTGCTAGGGCTTACGTGGCGTAGTGAAGACCAGGACGTGGTCTTCGCCCTAGTTCAACCGCTCCTAGATCTCCGGAGAGTGGGTTTGACCTGCTCTTTCGGAGGTGGGCAGTTGGCCGGTGACGTGTCCCCGCGGAGGGGAGCACGTGGAGAACGTGCGCCGAGCACGTTATTCTCCCCGCGGAGGGGAGGTTCTGCCCTGACGGGATGGGCACAGGTTCTGCCCGACAGGATGGGCACAGGTTCTGCCCGTCAGGATGGGCACCTGCCTGACGGGAGGAGGTTCTGCCCTGACGGGATGGGCACAGGTTCTGCCTGACAGGATGGGCACAGGTTCTGCTCGTCAGGATGGGCACCTGCCTGACGGGAGGAGGTTCTGCCCTGACGGGCTGGGCACAGGTTCTGCTCGTCAGGATGGGCACAGGTTCTGCTCGTCAGGATGGGCACCTGCCTGACGGGAGGAGGTTCTGCCCTGACGGGCTGGGCACAGGTTCTGCTCGTCAGGATGGGCACAGGTTCTGCTCGTCAGGATGGGCACCTGCCTGACGGGAGGAGGTTCTGCCCTGACGGGATGGGCACAGGTTCTGCCTGACAGGATGGGCACAGGTTCTGCTCGTCAGGATGGGCACCTGCCTGACGGGAGGAGGTTCTGCCCTGACGGGCTGGGCACAGGTTCTGCTCGTCAGGATGGGCACAGGTTCTGCTCGTCAGGATGGGCACCTGCCTGACGGGAGGAGGTTCTGCCCTGACGGGATGGGCACAGGTTCTGCCCGACAGGATGGGCACAGGTTCTGCTCGTCAGGATGGGCACAGGTTCTGCTCGTCAGGATGGGCACCTGCCTGACGGGAGGAGGTTCTGCCCTGACGGGATGGGCACATGTTCTGCTCGTCAGGATGGGCACAGGTTCTGCTCGTCAGGATGGGCACCTGCCTGACGGGAGGAGGTTCTGCCCTGACGGGATGGGCACAGGTTCTGCCCGTCAGGATGGGCACAGGTTCTGCCCACGGGATGGGCACCTGCCCATGGGTCCCTGCTCATCAGTGTGGTCCAATTGGGCCCAACCTTAGTGGGATTTTGGGCCTTCTCGATTGTGGGCTAAGCCTCGGCCCAGTCCAGAACAGTTATCAATCACAAATTACGGAAAATAGCGGTTTTGCTGAGTTCCGCTACACTACAGTGCTATACATGCCATACGTCTATAACCACTATTTGATGATACTTTGTTCTAAATCACTTATCACGTAACAATAGTGTTTCTTAAAATTGAGCTACGCTGCTATTTGACAACACTAGCTGACAACTCTTGTGTATGCCATGCCATTTTTATTTATCGTGTAGTTAATTTTCCCCTCTTTTCAAACCCAGGTTCGAATACTGAGGAAGAAGTATCCATCACTTGACATAGAGGTATCTCTGCCTATTATCTTGTTCGTAACTTCTTTCCTATCAAAATAGATGCATGTTTTCTTCATGGTTGTAAACTCACAATAATATCGACGCTTTTCACATTATGAATTCATGAACTTGTTTAATCCTTTACATTTTACACTTTGTAAATGTTCTCACTATTTTGTCCAATGACAGAGGCAGTGACAGCGATCTTTTATTTACTTCTTGTTGCCTCTGCAGTTTTAGCTTTTACTTTTTATATAGGATCTTGATGAAAACAAAACTTAATTTTATTTTTCTGTCCAATTATTGTATTCATGGAGGTGATAGAATGCTTATGTTAGAGCATGCTAGTATGCACCGCTAGTGATAATACTATTTTATAGTGACCGAGACATGTCCAATTTTGATTGCAGGTTGATGGTGGTTTAGGACCTTCAACCATAGACGCAGCTGCGTCAGCAGGAGCGAATTGCATTGTTGCTGGAAGTTCAGTGTTTGGAGCCCCCGAGCCAGCTCAAGTTATATCCTTACTGAGGAATTCTGTAGAGAAAGCACAGTAAACAGAGTAACGATCTGTCATCTATATTGCGGTACATGTCGCAACTTCACATAATCAATATGCTTGGTGTGCCAACATTTTCAAGTCAAATAAGAGATCAAGTTTACATGTCTCTATTCATTGTGCAATTAACAAATACTGTAAAGGCTTAAAAGGAATGACACATAACGCTGTCACCTAAATCCTTTGTTGAATATTTCGAAGTTTACATTGAAATTTTGATCTATTATTATTAGTACTATCACGATATTTGTAAACAAGGCACAGACACATTCATAGTAATTGAGATTTTAAACGCATCCTGTAGACTAACAAGGTCTGACACGGTTTACCTATGTAGTACTGATACTTCTAACAGGTGGACTGGGATGTGTGGGATGTCGGGAATGTCTAGAATTCCTGAAATTCCAAAAATTCCAGGGATTTCAAGTAAATCTTGAATCCCATGTATGAAAAGATCAAAACTTGCACCATCATTGTTTTGCTTGATTTCATGTATATCTTGAATCCCATGAACGCAAAAATCAAAACTTGCACCATCAATATTTTGCTTTGAAGAATTCTCAACTCTAGGAAATTCAGAAGCAGCTGTACGAGGTGTTGTAGGAGGCGCGCTGGCCATCTATGGATCCTTGGCATGGGTGGGATTTTAGATATCTGTGAAATTTCAGATATGAAAGAATCACCATCATTATTTTGCTTTATAGCAACCTTAAACAAGTTGCTAGCACCATCATTATTTTGCTTTATAGCAACCTCAAACAAGTTGCTAGCACCATCCTTTTTTCGCCTTGTAACAACCTCAAACAAGTTGCCTGCACCATAGTAATTATATCGCGTTGTAGCAACCTCAAACAAGTTAGTAGTTTTCTTCATAAAAGAGATTAAAACAACGGTGATCAAGAAGCCTTGGAGGAGCAAGGCTAGTTTAGACCACATTGTGCTATAAGTTTGCTCTGATCTTCTGTGGTTGCTCTTGAATGTTGGTTGAAATAGTACTTGTTGTATTGCCTTAGTAGTTAGTAGTAATTGATTAATTATGGATACAAGTGCATGTTACTGTTTCGAGATTTGTTGTTCCAATTATATTTGTTTTCTCCATACATCGGTCACATATAGTTTTGCATATATTGATTAAGTGGATGCTCATCTCAATATTTAGCTCCAACTTTGACGCAATGGAATCCTTTGGACGGTTACAAGTTGAAACAAATCTAGTACTTTAGAGTTTAGTTGGATTTTCTTTGTTGGGACTCTACTTATATTCTAGACAAGATCAATTTTAATTTCTGCCTACCAAAAATACTGGGAAGCATATATTCTCACTTACATGTGCACACTTTATTAGTATAGTATGACATCCATTCGCCCCTCAAATATCTTCTCTACGATAAAAATGCTAATTAATTCTATAATCTTAAGAACAAATTTACAAAAACCATATCAATTTCCAATTACCAATAAATTTGTTAATACAACTATTTTTTTTTGAATTTATTTAAAAAAGTCATATATATATAATCATCATAAAAAAATAGTACATCAAAAAAATATCACAGTCACTACTGTGTGTGCCAGACAACATTTGTCGTCTCATCTGCCTCTCCCGTCTCCTCGACTGCTCGGTCTGGGTCTTCGGCCATCGATCTCACTCGTCCTAGTGCGATGCATGCGATACATAAGTTCCTCTGCTGCCACTGCAATGATGTCATCCAATACACGCCTGTGGTCAGACCCTTCAAGAAAGAAACTAGCGACAATGCCTGCCCGCCCCATCTCTACTATCTGACGACAGCGAGGCAGGACATCCAGAGTGTGGTCCAACTGAGACTGTTGTTTCTCTAAGATCTCCTGATGAGTTGGTCTAGAGGGTGATCCTTCGGCAGTGGGCACCACGTAGGGGTGTGAGACGGTGAAAAATCATAGGATGTAGCCATCAACGTAGCTCCAGTTTGTCGATGCTCTGGTCGCCCGAGCCTCGTCAAGTACCATGTGCCTCTGGTAGTCGGCATATATCTCCTTTATCTGCATACGGGTCAAACCAAGAGGAGCAGAGACAACTGTGTGTCTGGGAATGATTTGAGTGTAGTCGAATTGCCACATGACGCGTTCGGGAAAATATGGAACAGTGATGGTCGAACTACATGCCAACCATCCTGAGAATATAGAGATGTCCTCAAATGGGCGTGTCACACAATGATCAGCATAGACGTCATACCAGATGTCCTCAGCAGCCAGACGATCGAGATAGACTCTGTAAGGGTCGACCATCTGGTTCCCCCTGAGCGGGAGAAAGGCACGGGCACGCAGCATCTGCTCTGTGTAATCAGGCGCACTCTCCCACCCGGCGATCATGGGAAGGAGCTAGAATACCCAAGCTTAAAATGAAAATAAAAAACATCAGGATCAAGCATTATCTCAAATATAGAATGAAAAGAAATGAAAAAAGTCGAAGGATATAAGATTGTTACCACAAGTAGTGCCACACTCCATGCCACAATCCTGATCTTCCACATGCATCCCTCTCCCCGCCTCGAATACGTGTAAATCAAGGTAGCCGCCCCCCAGTTGTACTCATGGATCCGTGTGAAATCCAAAAAGCACCTCAGGTAAGCGACATTCGTATATGTGGAGGAAGTGTCCACAAACAGCTGAGTGCCGACTAAAAATAGAAAATAACATCTCAGCACACACTCCCTGTGTATCTCAACCTCATCTGGATCGTCATTTGTCTGGCGTGCAGCAACGAGCGCCTCACCAAATCTACGGGTGAGAAAGGAGAACTTGGCATGAGCCCCTTTGGTCTTATCCACCTCCTCTAGCGCATCCAGTGGATCAGCCCCAAACTCCTCGACCAACTTCTCTCTCACATCCTCCTTCGTCATCCTACTGTGACGGAGGAGGATACCCTTGATCGGTATATGTAGCAGACATGAGATGTCGTCCAGTGTGATCGTGAGCTTGCCGTGCGATATATGGAAGGAGGATGTCTCAGGGTGTCATCTCTCCGTAAAACCCATCAGCATCACGTTGTAACCGATCTCACAATGGTCCTTCAAACCAGAGGCAGAAAGAACATCCTGGAACCAAGCCTCTTGTGGCTGCTCCAAAGATAATATCTTCCGCCCGTGGTTATAGAACTTCTGTGGCTAGCGAGTATGAAAATTTCCATAAATAAGAAACAATGTTAATAAGAAACAACGGTACAAATTATAATTTTCCAATGAAAAAAAGAAACAATATGAGTAATGTTACCTCTCCATCCCAGACATGTCTGTCAGTATGGTCAGCGTATCCTATCAGTAGGGGCATATCTGAAGAACCCCATAGGAAACCCTCAGGCTCATCGTCGTCGTCGTCACCAGCATCCTCCGGTGGTGGGTCATCATCCTTTGGAGGTGGCACCAGATCATTTGCAGAAGGAGAACCAAGGGTATTCCAACGAGACCTACGGGAGGACGGGGCCTGTGATGAATCCTCGGCTGAATCTCGACGCCTTCAGGATGAAGAAGTGGATGATGGGGTGGGATACAAGATCGAGGGAATGTCTTGGACATGTGATGAAGAAAGATGTGCCTCAACTGTATCGGCCTCGGTAACGGTGGCCTGACTCCATTCGCGTCTCACAGATACATGTTGTGAAACCCGTCCAAGTCGCAATCTATCGTCTTTGTCTGCCATAATGTCTGCAAGGTATAACCAATAAAAAACAATTAGATACAAATAAATTAAAAAACAAAAAAGAAAAAGAAAATCAACATTTTTTACTTCCGGATGTATACATGAGGAAAACTTCCGTATATGTATCTACGGAAGAACCCATAATTCAGAAAATTTGATTTGTTCCGGAGCTGCATCTATGAAATTGTTCTAACGTTAATTTGTTCCGTAGATGTAGCTCTGGAACTTCCTGCAACTCTAACAACAACGACAATGGCGTCCCCTACCCATGAAAATTGATTTTTTGAAACGCTGAATGTCCGTTTCAGCCAACAAACAATACCTAAATTGTCTCTAAACTATGTTTCTAAAACTATCTAACGATTTCTACCCCTAAAACTATATTCTAACTCGTTTACGGGAAATACTTGAAAATATCTCGAAAACTCGAAAACTTACCGATTATATCAAGCTTTGAATGATTTGGAGTGTCTTGATCGTTGAGATGAATTCTTCTTGTCGAACTTGGTTGAAAACAATTAAGTTTGGTGGAAAAAGTTTTTTTAAGGGTTGAGAGAGTTTGGAGAGTGAAGTTGAAAAATGAAGAATGAGGGAGGAGAAGAGACTCTGGCGTGAATGTATTCTGATTTATTCCGGAGCTATATAAATGGAAATATTTTGTAGATGTATCTCCGAAAAAAAACCAACGTTAAGTAAAAAAAAGGTGCGTTCAGAGATACATCTCTGGAAGCAGGGAGTATTTTTTAGAAGCACACATAGTGCCTAAGTATCCCAAGGAGTGGAGTAAGAAATTCTCAAATAATAAAGCCGACTGAACTTTAAGACCCATCTAGAGTTATGTGTGTCTAAAGATGACAAATACATAAACTATCGCCAAAAGGCTGCACACCCGAACTTAACACCATACCCATTACAATAGTTTGAATCAATTCAACGCTCTCTCACATTTAACGTCGTGTTCATCAGGAAAATTTCAACAGTCACTCATATATAAGCTCGGTCGCACGTCAACAAATGTATAAATTACATTGATTCTTGCAAGTTACACCTCTCTAATCTTAGTGACTTATGTGTTTGAGTGATAACCCTCACACCTAGCGTGAGTCTGAGTCCAATTCTCAAATTATAGTCCTTAACTCAACTTTGATATGTCAAATGTATTCATATACCATCATTAAAGGACAACTTAAAGGGTGAAATTTTCCTCAAACATTTATACATTTAATGCATGGGAACCTAATAAATGTGGGACTTAAAACAAACTACAAATAGATTCAATGTACACCCACATGCCTAACGCTGGACTAAATTCAATTCCCA